GTTGGGTATCAGGTGCCACCTCTCTGGGGACACCTCAGGCCCTCCAAGGTTTGGAGGCCTATCTCCCCCCACCACCACTTCCCCTGCCGGTGGCGGACTCCCTCAGGTGTCGGTGCGTTGGTGGTTCTTTGTGTCTGGGAGTGGGCGTCCAGGTACACACCGGCTCACTCCTTGGCGGCCGCTTATCGGGGCCTGGAGCCTGGGGCTCGCTCGGGCCCCTTTGGGGGTGGGGTGCCCCCGGCCTCTCGGCCTGGGGCTCGGTCACTCAGGCACGGCTGGCGGCCGGCGGAGCTCACGGGCGCATCACTGCAACTCCCCCTGGCTTCTGCTCCGTGGCTGCTGAGTGAGCCCTCATCTGGGACTCTCCTCAGCTCTTTCTGGGACAGTGGCGCGGCTGCCCCTCTGTTGGTCTTCCATGGTCTCTTGTGTTCTGGGGCCTCTGGATGTCTGGAGTTTTGATCTCCTCCATACCTGCTTCACACCCTGGAGGACGGGGCTGTGGCCCCCCCCCACTCCCTAGCAGATCGTTACATGGAGAAACCTTTGGAATACAAGCGCGCTGATCCACACAGGTATGCACACGGGTGTTCACTGCTCGTAGACCCAAATTACACCTTTCTTGGCTGCTACTTCGAAGCACATCTGTCCTGCGTGCTGCACAACAACATTGAATATTTAGTATTTACTGCTGTTTACACTTAGCTAGATTAATGCGATGGTGTTGTGTTTAGTATGTTGCTTTGTTTCTTTTTTTTTTGTCTTTTTTTGCTTGTTTTCTATTCTTCTCTCAACAGGTGATCCAGGAGATTTTTTTTCTCCCCCCCCTTTCTCACTGTCCCTCTCCCCTTCTGTTTTTCCTTTCCTTCCTCTTTCTTTCTCCCTTTCCTATCCCTCACTCATGTCTGTCCCGTCTGTAACATCTGAAAATAAAATATAATAAATAATAAAAACAAAGATCGACCAAATGGACCAATACGGCAATGCCACGATGATCCATTTGGCAAAGTAAATCCATTGGGTATCCTTGTTGGTCTTCAGACAACAATTCTGATGGCTAAAGAACCAAATGGGACAGGCGAAAAAAAAAAAAAAGTTACAAAATAGAAGAAAAAGCTCTAATATATACAAATAGCTAAATTATAAATATATAGAATTTTGCAGAGATTGACATTTTGCTCTAAACTGTAAAACTTTATTTATAATTTTCACTGTGGAGCCAATCCTCTGCAGATGATCTGTTAGCTGTTTGACAACTCTTTCAAGGTTGTTTGTCATGGGCCAGCAGACCAGTGCGTTATTGGGACTTAAGCAAACTGTTTCTTAACAAGACTTTATCATACAGTGAAAAATATATACATAAGATGGTGAGATAGGTGAAGTCCAGTCTTTGATGGGGAACAGGGCTGAGTATCACTGATTTATACAACTGGGTCGTAGCTGTTTGGTGGTTGTTGAAATAGTTTTAAACTGAGATTCTGACGTTTCTGGCAAAATGGATTTATATTTAAAAATTGATTCAGGATTTAATGAATCAATATCGCATTACTCAAGCTAAAATTGATTGGAATTGGGAAATCAATTTTTTTAAACCACAATAGGCACTAACCACCTTGCAGCCACAACTCAGTGCAGCAGCTTCAGCAAAGGAGGTGCTGAATGGAAGTGGTGAACATGTGTCCCCAGCCTCCCTTGGACTGTTGTCGAAGCTCTGCCAGATGAGGGAGTTGAAGATCTTGTGGATGGTGGTGTCTGCGAGGTGTTCCCAATGCCCGTCTATATCTAGCCGGTACGCTTTAATCTCACGTACTGGATCAGGCTCCTTTACCACAGAGAGGTAACGTTCCATGTCAAAATCGCTACTCCAGGTAGCCGGGGGTCGGGCCACCAGGGTCTCCACAACTGCCACCCAGCACACATTGTATCCTACACCTACCACACCGCCTGCAGGTGGTGGGCCTAGAGGAGGGTGGGCCCATGTCCCTTTTTCGGGCTGTGCCCAGTCGGGCCCCGTGGACTAAGGCTTGGCCCCTAGGCACTTGCCCTTGGGCACCCTCCCCGGGTCTGGCTGCAGGGCAGAGCCTCAGTAACCCTATCCCGGGCAGGGTGAATTGTTGAAATGTTCTTTGGCTCTTCAGCTCATAGGGTTTGTTAATCGCTCAATGTTTGAGACCCTACCAGGAGGCAAGAGCGAGCCAAGCTAAGCTGAAGATGTTCAGAAGTTCACTGGGAGTGAGCAGCATGCACAGGATTAGAAATTAGTCCAGCGGGACAGCTCAGCGTCAGAGAAGCGAGGATAAGATGGTTTGCTCATGTGGAGAGGAGGAAGAGAGGATATACTGGACAGAGGATGATGAAGATGGAGCTTCTGGAGCAGATACTCACTGGCATTAACACAGCATTCTGACTCAGATTCACTTTCATTTTTATTTCTCACCTTTATAACTGCTTGTCATTGTCCTTGGGAGGCAACAGACAACATTCTTCAGCACATCTGTCATCACAACGATTCTCTGTACTTTTTACCACATGTGGCACTTTCAATTATTTAAAAAACTAAGACCACCCTTACTGCTTCCACAGGAATTAAAAGGGTAAGTATCAGCCAAGTGCTGCTAATTACATGCATGTCTTCACTGATCATCTGCAAATCTGAACACGTCTATAAAAGAACAAGTTTCATTCAGAATTACAGAATCTCCTCAGAAGTGGACACCAAAAAAGTAAATTCACCGAAAAAACAGACCATCCAAAATCACAAAATCAGTGTGACGCTCATTGTGTGTGTTAGATTGTAAACAGGCAAATATATGAAACTTGTGTTTGACAGATTTCAGGATTACTTTTTCAGATGAAAGTGTTTCAGCTTTAAGCTCCAAACAGAAGGCAATGGGATTAACTGGGATTTCTGTTAAGTTTTAGGCCAGTGATATGAAATTGGTGTACTAGGGTTACTTTTACTTTATTTATCTAATTTTATCTATTTACAACCCCAGGTTTCTCTTCAGCTCTGTAGCCAGGCTGACAAACAGTCAGAGCTCTGTTGAGCCAACCATCCCTTTAACGTTAACTAGTAATGACTTCATGAACTTCTTCACAATAAAATTTTACCCATTAGAGAAAAATGACCAGTAATCATCCCACAGATGTAATATTATCTACAGCTACTCTTAGTACCATTGATGTTAAGTTAGACTCTTTTTCTCCAATTGATCTTTCTGAGTTAACTTCAATAATTACTTCCTCCAAACCATCAACGTGTCTTTTAGACCCCATTCCTACAAAACTGCTCAAAGAAGTCCTGCCATTAATTAATTCTTCGATCTTAAGATGTGACCCTGTGAAGACTCCCCACACCTACTTGCGCCAGGGAGTCCAGCAGTTCACTTAAACAAACGGCTCCTATACTTAACCAGACACAGAGTAGGTGTCCTCCTACACCATAAATCGGTAAGAGAAGGTACGACCTCTCTCATGACCCCAAGTTGTGTGTGCATGCCAGAGTGCTCTGGGAGGCACACAGAGTCTTTGCAGACTGCAAGGATCAGACATCCTACCATTATGCAATCGACTATAAAACTAAGCATATATGACAATCCACAATATAAACCTAACACGCAGCTCTATCTGTCCATGAAGCCAGATAACACACACCAATGAGTTAAACTGCAGGAATGTCTTAAAGACTTCTAAAGTGGTTGCTCACAGGGAGTTGTCTGATTGTTGGGGTTTCTCTGTATAATTGTTGGCTCTTTACACTATCGTATTAAGTGCCTTGAGGTGACTGTTGTTGTGATTTGGCTTTAGAGAAATAAAATTGAATCTAATTGAATTGAAATGAAAAAGCATGAAAGGGACTAGAAAGAGAGAGCATATTTCTGCCACACTGGCTCCCTGTTAAATCCAGAATAGGGTTTAAAATTCTTCTCCTCACATATAAGGTCCTGAATAATGAGTCCCAATATTATTTCAAAGACCTCACTATATCACTGGGTACTATATCAAAGTAGAATCGAATGAACAAGTACCCTCTCTATTCCAACATAAAGACAAATGTATGGAGTTAGTAGTTTGATCCGTAGTCTGTTCATTTGACCTTTTCGATGGTACATTCTGATGAGTTTCAGCATTAATTACCTGAAGCTTCCCAAGACCCAACCAAATGTTTTGCTGCTGTGGCACAGAAGATGCCTTCTTTTATTCAGTCTTACAAGCTGGTTAAACGTAGGCACTCACAAAGCACCTGGTTATGTCCAGGCACTGCCAGCCTGGTTAGAGCTAGTTCATAAAGTTCGTAGTTTGAGCTTTTGTGCTGAAAAGTTGGATGTGACAGCCACATGTGACTCAGCCCAGTCAAAGAAAACCTTTTGTGTAAATGAGACAGCGACCTCAGTACATGGCGCTGTTTTCTATGTCAGGTAAAGAAGGACTGGGTTGTCTGCAGGTTTAGCTGATAATCTCTCATGATTCTTACAAAATCTTCTCGCTGTCATGGAAACGCCAACGGGCAAGAAAGACCAACAAACACCACCCTACAGTTCCATCCTTTGTTAATTCTGCTCCATGCAGCAATAATTTACATCCGACGCTGAACATTGAGGTTAACGACTGATAATACCAGATTAGAAAGTTCATTCCTCTCTACATCCAAAGACAATTTTCTCTAAAGCAGACCATTTGTTAGCTTCCTTGGTTTGTCTTCTTTGGGAGCTGCAGTCCAGGTAAAGGTAAGTGAATGCCACATCACCCACATGGGAACAGGTACAGTAACATATGATACTGTAAATTCTATATAAAACACTGTCTATATGAAATTAAAGGCAACTAAAATGTGCTCACATCTAAAGCAAAGTGGACTTTTATTAGCTGCTTGCACAGATTTTGTTTTCTGGTCTCTGATTGGTTGGCTGTTTGTCAAACCAGTGAGGTAACAGATGCCCTGTCTTTAGGGGGAGGGATCTAAAGGCAGTTGAAAACAAACTGTACAAACTACAACTACACCACATCAACTCTCCCAAGACCTCTGAGATCAACCAGGACCAGGAACCATGTCCAGTTCTGGTAAATATATTTTAGTTGCATTGAGGTTGTAAACCAGCAGAGCAATGCCATTTCTCTTCCTGTTACTGTTTTCAGGTCTTATTACCCACCAGAAACTTCTCACTTATCACAGTACATCATACACTTTGATATATTTTAATGCTAATCTTTTTCACCTGCAAACGTTAGCTTGCTGTCTTTGAGTTATTTTAGTCTTGTGGACCTAACTTCCCAGCAACATACACATGCTGCTTCAGCTCACAATTACTGGCTTATGCTGATGTTACATTGTTACATTACTCGTTCATGCATGTGCATAAAAGTCTAGAGATTTCTGTCTGATAACTTTATCGTGAACTGACACCAAAAATGTCCAGTGTGGCAAAAATAAAGCAAAACCATGTAAATGATATTATTGTAGAGTCTAACGTCCAGTATAAAGTGACTGTTAATAAATAAAAGTGTGAGTATCACAGCAGCTTACATGTTCATTTTTAAGAGCTTTGATCAAACAATAGCTGCTATTTGCAACATTTTACATTGTTTTGACAAAATTAATTAATTGGATGTTTTTTTGTTTTTCCATAGAACAGCTGTTAATGGCTCATAACTGACGATTTACTGAATTATAAAGAGTTCAGCTGTAGACTGATTTCTTTGCACTGCTGAATTGATTAATTTTCTACTTAATGGTTCAAAATCTTTTGAGCTTTTACTAAGAAATTACATTCACTATGAAAGTATGGTTCACTGAGCCTTGATTACTCAATATTAAAGGAGAAATTAAATCTAATTTCTGACGTTTATCAATTGGAAAAATATGTAATTATAATATTTTGGGACTCTCTTACATTTAAAATTGAATCGTATTCCCAGGCCAGTAAACTAAAGTGTGACAATCTTCAGTGCTCCGAAAACATTTGCCATGTGTAGTGAAAGGTTTGGACCTTAAGTGTAGATTTGAATAGTAAATAAATAAAAACTAACCTTTATTTTGGCGACGATGAATTCAAACAACTGGCAGCAAACATTATCAACAAATCAAGTGGGGAAAAATTCACAGGAAGACAAAAGACAGGAATGGAAAGCAAATAGTAACGATGAGCACATTCAAACTCAGGCTTTAAGTACACGGGAGGCTAATGTGGGAAAACGACACAGCAAGGTAGAAACAGGTGAAAGTAATCAGGTAACAAGACAAGACACGCTCACTATCTGATTCAGTCCAGGGGCTGTTTGCATAGAGCCCTGCTGCCCGATGCAGGCAGTGTACAAAGATCATCAAACGAGATGAAATTAAAGACAAACACAATATGTAACTTTTAAATTAAGGTGTTTATTATTTTGTTTGGGTGTTTGGGGGGAAACCCAAACCTGACTGCCTCCTTGCCTTGTTATAACATAAAGTAACAGTGGTGTATCACGCTGACGAGACAAAAGCTAGACTTTTTGGAAGGTGCATCTCCGGTTACATTTGGAGTAAAACTAAAAAGTCCACCTCTGAACTGCTTAAGAAAAGAAAATGAAGACTTTGGTGTGGCCTAGTCAAAGTCCTGACCCGAATCTGATGAAGCCGATCGAGATGCTGTAGCATGACAGTCAAACGGCGGCTCCAATGTGACTGAATTACAACAAGTCTGCAAAGATGAGTGGCTCAAAGTTCCTCCACAGCTGTAAAACACTCATTGCCAGTTAATGCAAATGCTGTAATAATTAACACCTTCATTTAGAAACTGCATTTTGTGTTTATTTGTGTTATCTTTGTCTAATATTTTAATTTGTTTGATGATCTGAAACATTTAAGTGTGAAAAACATACAACAAATAGGAAATCAGCAAAGCGGCCAACACTTTTCAGTTCGCTGTATAAGTTGAGAAGTCCTAAAGACTGCAACAGAACTTACATAATAATAATAATAATTATTATGTCAATATAAATTCTCCAACAGGGCCAAAGGAGCTGAGGATTGTCTTCATTGGAAAGACTAAAATGTTGACTTCACAAATTGAAGCCATCCTGAAAGAAAAGGCTGCGCAGGAAGACTTTACAATGGTTTTGGTGAAGACTCTGATCCAAGACAGTCCAAGTCAAGTCGACGAGACAGAAAACACCGAAGTGTCAAAGGAAATGCAGAAAGGAGCTACAGCATCCATCTTTTCTCCTGGTCCCCATGTGTTTCTGTTCGTGCAAGAGTGGGAGAGCGGCTTTAAAATACATGACGTGGAGCGAATGAAACTGGTTAGGGAGTTCTTTGGTGACGAGTCGCTGCGTTACTTTTTACCCTTGATCACCCACGAAGATGAAGAGCTGAAACCAAAGGATAGAAATGAAATAATGAGTTTCATTGAGACACAATTTGGGTGTGACAAAGAGAAATGGAGTGATATTGATGTTGGTAGTGAGAAAGTCCAAGATCAGGAGAGAAAGTTAGTGGACAAGCTGAGAGAGGTGGCTGAAAACAACCAATGGGAGTGTTACACAGAGGAAATGTTCAAGAGGGCACAGGAAGCCCTCTGCCAGAAAATGCAGGAATTAGACAAGAAGGGAAGGAAAGATGATGTGAATGACACACTGACCAAATTTATTGAGTTGGTAACTGGAGGGGGCGACTTTAGCAAGTTCCTGTTTCAAATGCAGAGAGAGGTGTCAGACTATTTCAGCAAATACACGGAGAAGCTGGCTCAGAAACACAAAAAGTGAGGATAAAAATTGGCCTCCATTCACAAAAGAATCAAAGAGTTAAGAGCAAGTTAATGAAATGACGGAAGGAAAGATGAGACTTTACTCATGAACCCAAAATGATTGATTCATTAATCCTGTTGTTATTAAATCTGCAGCTCGGTCAGAGAAACAAACAAGATATTTGATGTTTTTAATGCGAGTTATTAATCTGACAGACTCGGTTCCTCTGCACACTGAGATCAAGACAACAAATAATCATGTTTTTATATCATTATTATCATTTGCATTTTGGCAGAAGTGACATTTGGACTGGTTCAATTGGACTCCATATTTTCCAGCTGCAACATTATATTCTAAATGATTTAATGCAAATACTTCTCTGCTTCTTTTTCCTTTTATTGATGGTGAACAAGGCATAATGAGGAAAAGCAGGATATACGTGTGCATGTATGTGGGGCAGCTGTAACGTTTGCGTCTTCTGTGTGGTAAAATTGTAAAGATTAGCTCTCCATACAGATCTGAGTTCTTTCTGCGCCTCTGCTCCAGTTACAGGGAAACCTGACAACAGATGTTTTCTGGAGAAGCTGCAGCACAGACTGTGTTTTTCTTTTCCTTTGTTTTCTGAAAAACATGTTAAATGTTGAAGCCTGATGGATTTTGTGCTTCCACTCAGTGGACGTGTTCAAAAAAGAAAGATTGTTTTCTTTTTTCATTCCTTTCTATGATGTAACACAGTTAAGATGCTAATGTACGAATCAGTGTGTGAACTTATGCAGCTTCAGTCAGATAATAGCAGCAGAATCACATCAATAAATCAAACATGACTGAGACAAATCTGTTTCTCTCCTGTCATCATTCAGCTGATTAACAAATGACTCATAGAAGAAATTAACTTGAAACTTTGTCTTTTAGTTTTTGGTTGTCTGTCTCTTTGTGTTAGCCGTGCATCCGGCTGGCCACCTGTCCAGGGTCTGCTCCGCCTCTCGCCCTACGTTAGCCACCCGCGACCCTGACGGGGATAAGTGGAAGAGGATGGATCGATGGTTTTTAGGGACCTGAGTGTAAACGTGTCTTTCTTTAAAGCACTTTGGGTCAGCTTCTGTTCATTAAATTTGTTATGTAAATAAAATGGACTAGACATTAAACACAAATGGCTCTAATATTCAGACGTAACAGATTCATTCTTGATGTTCGAGGTATGTTTTTTCATTTCCAATAAAATTATTTAACACAATCCAGTGGACTGAATTTACTACCTGAGTGTCTGGATATAGTCTGCAGGTAATCAGTCTGAGAAGTAACAGCTGTCAATAAACATAACTCATGCTGAATACTTGGCATCCGTTATGAATGAAACATTATTTTCAGCACTGTAGAAGCTACCTGGTAATTCTTTGCTTCTCTGGAGGGACTGTGACAGTGACCTCTGACCTCTGTGCTGAGGGTGTGCGTCCGCCTGAAAAGTTTCCATCGTTTTTCTTCTTTTCTTTTGCTGCTTGTTTGCTGCTGTGCTCAGTGCTGCTGAGTCACATGACCACAGAGGGGGGGCGGAGCAAGGTGTGTCTGCATTAGGGGAGCAGAGGTTGCACAAATGATGAAGAGCAGCCACGTACTGACCTTAGAGAAGGCGAATCACTGAAGTACTGATCCCATCACCCTAGTAACGATCTGACATCAGTACCAGTGTTGTATCAATACTTTAAATATTTAGATCGATCGACCCCTAAACGCACTGCAGTCGACCTCTCCACCACCTCCAAGATGAGCCCAGGATGTGCCGGTCCATGTGGCCCATGCAGGCTACGCCCAGAGGGGCTCACTGTGTTTTGCTTGGCTCTCTGCAGAAAAGCTGCATTGCACTCAAACAGCTACTGGAACTGATCGCAGACACTCAGAACACCTGTGATTACACCTGATGGCGTTTCACATGAAGCACAGCGCAGCTGAGAAGGACAGGAAGTGAGGCACAGAATGTCATGGGTCTGGTTGTGGGTTTAGGATTCTTGGTTTGGTCTTCATACTTTGATTTATTGATATTTATGTTTTATTTAGTATTTTGGAGTCTATAGTTGCTGTTATAATTAAATCTAGTGTTAGAGTTTCTCTTGTTCCCTCAGTGTTCGCATCCTGTTCTGTCAGCTCCCCTATGTTAAGTTCATGCACAGGTCTGCATTTTCCCATTTCTCACTTCCTGTTTTATTTTGATGGTTACTGGTCTTTATTGTCTTCATTTTGTCTGCACCAGCTGTGTCCACTTTGTCCCAGCATCTGTTGCTGTGCCTGGTGTCTTATTCATTTTATGGGCTTTGAGATTCTGGAGTCTGCTTTTGGCTGTAATAAAGGTTCGTGTCTGTCTGCCCTGAGTCTGCATGTGCATCCTCGTGAAGGAAGGCATAGATAATTCAGTCACTGCTTAAAATCACCCACATTACACACTCAGATGAAATGCTTGCTGGATATTCGTCATATCTTAAAGTATCTTATTATCTTAAAACATAATTCTTCATTCTCAGCTCTTTGTTGTTGTTCCCAGGATATTTAAAAGTAGAACGGGAGGCGGAGCCTTCAGCTTCTGTGGAACCAGCTTCCAGTTTGGATTCAGGAGACAGACACTATCTCTACTTTCAAGATCGTTTGTCTGTTTTCTCTTTCAGCTGTGTTGGTGATCACTGTGATTTTTTTGTGCTGTGGCCTACTTTGTCCCTTTCTCTCAACTTTTCTTCTCCTTTCTTCCTTTCTATAGAGTACGGAGCCCCGCAGGGGACATGGGAGAAAATAAAATTAAGACGGATTTTTATTTATTTACAGTGATTCTCACAAGTGCAATATATATATACAAAGGTGTTCGGGAAAAGGGTCCGGGGTCCAGGACTGACAGGGGAAGCAGTCCAGGGTGGAGGCTTTCCATACACAAACAACAGCTCCTCTCTGCACCACCACTCTTCTTGCCCACGCTCAGTCACAGTTGCTCAGGGAACGGGTCCAGGGGAGATCTACACACATACAGAGAGACAGTCAGCTTCCAGGTTCAGAAGTACTCACGAGTTCAAATTACAGGTTTGCAGGGCGACTGACGCTGACGGCTCAACGATCCAGCGAAGAGTAGAGCAGGCCCACCATCCTAAGTAGGGCTCTAATTCTCGTGATCAGCGGCAGGGGTGCTGATCATCCCCAGGTGCATGGCCCAGGGGCGGAGCTCAGTATGGGCTCCGCCCCGGCAGGAGAAAGAGAGAGAGAGAGCAGAGAGAGAGAGGAGAATAAACAAAACAAAACATAGTGCCAGACTGATGTCAGCTGGCGAGGTGCGGGGACCATGACAACTTATTTGCACATCATCTTTTATGTAAAAACAAAAAATTACTTGCACTTTAATTTGCATTATTTATTTGATTTGATTTATTTGATTTTTAATGTGACGGTCACATTAATGTTAAAAATACATTTCACTAGTTTCAAAATCATTTCTTCCATGTGTCATTATTTTATTTGCTGTGGGCGGTGAGGTACAGCATGAACTGGAGCCTAGAGCAGAAAGTGTGCCCACGGAAGGCGGAGATCTTAGAAATTAGATTTTTAATTTCAATGGGATATTTACCTGTTTAAATAAAGGATTATTTAAAAAATAACAGAAATGAGTGATTGAAACAATAGTAGACTAATCGACTAATCAAAAAATCTGCTGACAGATTAGTCGACTACTAACATATTCTTTAGTTGCAGCCCTAGACATCCACTCCAGGGAATATTGCCACCTCAATACTCCAAAGCAGCAGCCTGAAGAAAAATGATAAAATAGCACAATCCTAGCTGTCAGTCCAAATGGCCACGACCCTGATATTACAAACTTCAATACAATTAAAACAGGTGAGTTATAAAAACATGTGCAGGTGTTATGAAGGGGGACAATTTCTATAGAGACCAGAACAGTTTCTGTATCAGGCTGTACAGTTGTGCATTTTAATCTGGAAGTCTATGGGGACTGACTCGTGCCCCCAGTGGACATTAGAGGAATTACACATTTTTGTGCATTTCTTCACAGCGAATTTGTGGTGCTACAGCTGTGCCAGTGTTGGTATTTGCCAGTACAGAGGGGTTTGCTACCAACACTGAAAAAAATATGTTGTTGGATTTACTTAATTCAATGGTGGACATTTGTTGCACACAGATGTTTTGCTTCGGCAGCAACTTAAACAATTGAGTTAAATTAACACAATTTATTCATGTTCAATAAACCTGTGCAATTTGTGTTGATAAAATGTGACTTAAACATGTTTTGATGAAGTAATTTGAGCTCTTGGAATATTTTAATCCTTCACAATTTTCTCACGTTATCCCAACACGATTCAATAACTTTTACCCAATACTACTTGGTCACTTAAATACTACATGTTATCTTCAAATTACATTTTGCTATTATATTCTAGTATCAAATACACAATTTTCAAATGGAGGCCTTATAACAGATTGTATTGTTCTCTTCCAAGATGGTTGCTGGCATCCACCAGTAACCTTTCAAAACAAAATGTCTAATTTCACTGCAGTAGGTAAAGAATTAAACTGACATTACTCCTCTACTGAATCTACATAAATCAACAGTTAAATAATGTCAGTTCTTCCGTGTTCTCTGGACTCAATCACAGTAAAGAAATTAGACTCTTTCTTTTGAAAAATGTTACAGGACAATACAAAACATTCTATTTAAGGCCTTTGACGTCAAGATTCAGTTAAACAACAATTATAACTAAACAATTTGAGGTAATGTTAGTTTCCATTAACATTAAATTAGGTTACTGAATTGGCAAACACCTTCCTATTAACATTACCCATTTTACCCCAATAACTAAAGAAATTAGCACCTGCAGGTCAAAACCTTTATTCAAGAGATGCAAAAATAACATTGATACAGTGACTGTCAAAAAATACAGCACTGATCATACTGTGACATCTTGGTTCAAAACAGCACACTTAGAAATATTCAACGTTCTTTACTTCAAATGAATGAAACTGAAAATACCATTTCACACGACCCATATGGGATATTTAGACTGTATAACTGTTCACGCTACATCTCTTCACTAGTAAAAGAAAGAAAAAATACAAAGACAAATTTAAAAATGCTGCCAAACAGACAAACAGAACTTGTACAGAGCAAAAGGAAAAACAAACAACAACAAAAACGGCTCGTCCTCATGGCAGTTGCAGTGTATATAAAAATGAACCCTGCGATCTGCTCCTGGAATTGAGCTTCAAAAATGCAGCAGAACAAGTGTGAGATTTAAATGTCCTCTCACCTAGAGCTGGTCACCTCACATGCATAACAGTGAGCTTCGTTGCAGGAGCAGTTTTGTCTTAGTTGTGAGCTTTTCTTGAGAGCTGAGTTGCATCCAACTCCATTACCACCCTTTGAATCACCTCAAAAGTGTAGCAGAGTTGTGATGGGTAACTCATGTTGAAGGAATAAAAAAGGTCCAAACAGCATGGCTACTGCAAAGGTCACGTTATCCAGATCTTGAAGAACAACATCAGAAAAGTCATTGCCTGGTGCATCTCTGGAGACAGATGTTCATTGTGGTTTTCTCAATCTGTGCAGTGGCCTCAGTCAAGTCCTGGTTAAACACAAAACATTTTTTTAAGATTCCCTTTTAAACTCATCTCTTTTGAATCTACCAGTTCTAATGTTAGAGTAATTTAAACCATAGTAAATAGCTATAGCCAAAGAGTGGCCTGCCATGCTGCCATTCATGGTCTAACAGAGTTTCTAAGAGAGGGTGAAAAACATAATAATTTCAAATGCTTTACATTAGTTTTTGTTAGAAAGACACCGGCCCATCAGA